CTCATCAACTCGGTGTTCCCACATGCAACTACCAGGGCCACCACGTGTTCTGCTAAGATCCCAGACATCCTTCTTGTAGTAAGATGATGACCGCACTTGTAGCCACCCAAGCGTTAAAACATTAGTACGCTGTGCAGTACTTATCTGCATGTCACTCAGTCTTCGCACCTACAAGCTCCTTGTCAGATTTTAATGGGTTATCGAGGACAGTAAATTGATTGTGAACGTGAATTGTGTTAATTTGGTCTCTTATAGCGTGCGGGTGCGTCTGTCAAAAAAAAGTGTATTGCTTTTACACTCTGAGACTCCTATTACTCTATTGTGGGCTGAGAGCGGCCTTGGCGGCAAGATCTGCTCGGCTGTACACTGAATCTGGGTACTCAGGCCCGCGCCCGGATTCTACTGCTTCCGCTGCCAGTATCTGACAACAAGAGATTGTATTCGATAGAGAGCTATCTGCTACTACAAGCAAGATAGATATTATAATTAACGGTGATTACGGTGCGATAAGTGCCCACGGTCTGATCAACGACAAGATCAGTGCGCGTCGTCTGATCCCTGGTCAGGTATAGAGAATGTGGGTGTTCGGTTATACACTCGGATTCTGTGGACGTCCCGAGATCCTATCGAGGAGAAATCCCAGGGGCGATTAGCCCGTTGCAAAAGCCTGGGCTACTAGTAGGGCGCTAACCCATCACAAGAAGGATGCGAGGCCCGATCGCTGTTCCACGGTCATGTAGCTCCATGTTAACATGTAGGTAGAACTGCATAGAAATGTGCAAAAAAAAGCTCTCCAGCGGGGGATTGAACCCCGGTCTCCTGCGAGCTGTCAACTGGTTGACAAGCTGAAATACTGACCACCTATGTAACTATGCTGTTTACCAGCATGTCTACTAGATTTTTTACTTTTAGTTACTGCAACGTAAACCCGTTTTAGAACTATAACTTGCTAAGCTATACCAAATCCCTATTTCAGTAACTAGTTCTAGTGTACAGTAATATAGAGAAAGATGCTCCATATAGAAGTTAACGCTATTTTAAAAGCTCTAACAGATATATGGCCATATAATAGAGATTGCCAGGTAGGCGGGCTGTATATATCATCCTGCGCGCGACAATCAGTAGAATGCTGATTACTCGTACCTTTTTGGTTGCAGTGGCCTAGTGGGCAGGACTAAGCTCCTGACAATAGGTACTATAGGCTTAGATGAAAGGTTATATAGAAGGATTTAAGGGCACAAACTTAAGAAACTACTTATTTAGAGGCGATCGAAGTAACTACTTGAGCTAAAGTTAGTAGGGCCTTAGTATAGTAAGTAGTTTACTATACTAAGTGGCTCGCCGTATAGACACCTTAATAATTATTTATGCTGATTTACCTAGCTAACATAACATTATGTTAATTGCAGCATGCGCCAAAGCTGTTAGAATCGCTTTCCCACCAGGCAATTTTTATGTGAGCTCTAACAGTGGCGTCAGGTTGAGGCTCCCAAGAAGGAACGCAGCAATGCGAGCAGACTTCTTATTGACATATTTCTGATCTAGCCTCTAACATTCCGCGCTTTAGGAGGCTAGATTTCTGAAGCGGATCACACAAAAACGTTCTAAGATATGTCTACAATAGGAAGAAAACCTAACACTGAACGTACTTCAGCATGACGAACGCGTCCCGTCGCAGCCTTATATTTGTTAGGAGTTGTGGAGTATGTACCCCTAACATCTACACTCTTCCACTCACTACTCTCAACAGCTCCCTTAATGCATCCTGATCTTCCTGCAAACAGTCCGGGTACGCAATCTTCTTCTTAACGCTCTCATCTGTCTCGCGGTCCTCCCACGACCAGCGCTCCCTCTCCAACCATGAACATATCAACTCCGACCCATTAGGCGAAATGTGTAAGTCAGATCTCAGTCTTTCATACGGGATCGCTCCTTCCCCGAAATCAAAGATCGCATATCGCGACGAATCGACGCAAGGAATAAGAGAGTTGCGTTCATCGAACGCCTCGTCAGCACTTAAATCTGCTTGAAGACTGAAGGCAGAATTGATAGGGCCGCGACCCATGGAAAAGTGCTTGAGTTTCAGCAGCTCTTCTTGAAAACGTGGAAGGACATGATGCCACCGCATCCCACAAAAGATATTTGCTGTTGGTGGTTTGCCACGCGCTGTATCACGAGGACGTAGGTGCAACGCGTTGCTGCTTTGGTGCGACATCATGCGGGATGCGTACAGGATGGGGCAGTCAGTTAAGATGAGCTGTTCTAGCGTTTCGCCGTGGGAGGTGATAAAGTCGAGTTGCCAGTCGAACATGACGGTCCACTTGCTGAACGCTAGAGACCTGAGGGATGGGAAATGCAGACCTTCAGGCTGCCATCGCGGGTACACCCCCCAATACGTATTGCAGTGGAGTGTAAGATGGGTAAGTCGGGACTGCGAGTGGCTCAGCCACACTGCGTTCAGGCGTTCATTAAAGAATGCATGGCGCTCGACATTTTCGATATCATGATCCGGACAAGCTTCGCTAGTCCATGTGGTTATCAAAAGGTTTAACTTCTTGAATTTCGCTGAAACTTGTGACCAGTCTGGCCTTTGATCTGGACAAAAGTCTTGCAAGTGTTTGACTGTCAGGGTGTTGATGTCGGCATAGCAGAGAAACTTCGTGAGAGCAAACATAAGCGAGGCGCAATGCCCATCGCTAACGCACGCCCACGCAGCATCAAGCACGATTTCCCGTATGTTCAGGAGATCGGAGCGACTCCATCTTTCAACAGACTGTTTCCACCAATCCGATGGTGGACATGAACAGCATTCGTCGTATGAAATGTACTTGTCGATGTGTGAATCCAGATAGAGCTACAGACTGTTAGATTCTGAGACGTGACGAAAGTGAGCTTTTTGGACTAAATACCGTACGAATGCAACGTCGAAGGTTAGTATCGTTGATCAAGCTAGTGAATCTATCGGCGCTTTCTTCCGCGACACGAAGCGTGACCAGGGCAAACAATATCTCGGTCGCGACATCCCTGAGATTTCTAGAGGTTAATCGCACCGACCTCAGATTCGCGCCATCAAGGTAACTGAAACACTGTCGCTGGAGTTCAGTCGGAAGAGACAGAAGGTCTGTCATAGTGCTGCTTTGTCTAAGTAAGAAGAAAGGTCAAGACATAAATACTGTGAAATGCTAAGTTGAGCAGAAGGAGCGGGAGCCTAGGCTAGCGAAGTTGCCTAAGTTAGTGCCGGGTCCGTGTGCGCAATGATGCGCGGATGCGTGTGATGCTCCAAACCATCAAAACACCTCTGCTATCTTAGCTTCGCAACAACACAATGCGGTGGGATTACAACGAGTCCTCATAAAGTGCGATACACTGAACAAGCAGCCAATGTGATTATGGATCCCTCGCGGACATAGTCATCTCTTAGCTGCTACTTTATATGCAACTAAAGCTTTGGAAGATAAAGATATCTCACACGACACGTATGCATATATACACGCGAAAAGCCGTTCTAATACTTCCTTTACAAGAAGCGTTTCTCGCGCCTATATAGTATCTATTTTTTTATTCATCTCGCTTCTACTCTACTTTCTAAAATAATAATGCTCTTACTACCTATCTAGGAAAGTGACGTGTGTCAGAAGCCCAGCCCTGTGCCACTGGGCTACTGCAACCAAAAAGGTACGAATAATCAGCGTTCTGCTGATGCTCTGCACAGGATAGTATAAGTAGATAGACTCTGCCCTAGTCTACCCCGCAGCCAGCCTTGCCCAAGGGCCTGACAACTATACTTAGCCTTTATCTACTCCATGAGCTCAAAATAGCTCTTAATTAAGACTAGATCTTCATATAGAGCTCTCTATCTATCGTATGACCAATTAAAACGCGTCGTAAGATTGTCTATGCGCTTGACAAAGTTGGCTAGCCACTTCTATCTAACCTGGCCAGCGCTACGCGCAGCTAGCAGCTTATTAGCCATGTCGCGCACAGCAGCGTATATAGACACAAATCCATGTAAATTAAGATTAAGTATATAATTAACTATCACCCCCTCTTCTAGCTTAGTTAGATTCTTTAAGTTAGACTGGCAATCGCGTCAGGCAGTTACACAGCGCATCAGCGGCGGATTGTTCGTTCAGACAGGCTATAGATAGCAGCAGCACGACGATTACTCTATATTTAATAGGAATTAATAGAAGAAACAGCAAGCTAGATATGTACTTCATTTAAGGCTAATAGAGTAGCTCTGCGTTCAGCCATTGTTCGTTATAATAGGAAAGGTGTGCAGAGTTCCTGAGGTGCGGCGCTCGCTTATCCACAACGTTATCACTTTTTAAAATTCCTTTATTACAATTATGCTATGATGATACTGTTCTATAAGCTATATTGTCAAGATAAGTTCGCTGAATTAATTCTTATTGCTAGTTTCTCTCTATCTCTATTATCTCGAGCTGCATAGCGTTGCGGAGTACGCCTTAGCATAAAGTAGTAGGTATCTAATGTTGGTCGGCCGACCGCGTACTTTACGTACTTGCTGCGTACTGTAGCGCGTGCACACCCAACCACCCTCATACTTTGGCTTACCTACCTAAGTCTAATTAGATTTCACCTCTTCTTCTAGTTTAGTGAGTTTCTTCAAGTTAGGCTAGCAATCGCATTAGGTAGGCCTGCTAGCGCGTTGGCGTTGGAGAGTAGCGCGTGAGATATTGAACGTATCTACAGCGCACCTTTCAGTTTGAATAGGATTTTTTTTAAAGAGCCGATACTGAAAGGTATATATATATATATATATGAACCTCATGATAAACGTGTTATGATGGATTTGATGGAGTCATTATATGTTGGAATAGGAGAGGTGCGCAAAGTTAGTGGGGTAGCTCACTCACGTGTACGCCTCACTCGTTTGTAAAACTCGTTAATTGAAGAAAAAAGAGAAAAAAAAACCTTCGCCTTAGCCTACGGCGCGTATACCTCGTGGGGGAAACCTTTGATACGCCACCAAAAAAAGCTCTCCAGCGGGGAATTGAACCCCGGTCTCCCGCGATCTGTCAATCGGTTGACAAGCGGAAATACTGACCACTATGTAACTGCGCTGTTTGCCAACATGTCCGTTACATTTTCTGTTCTAGGTTACTAATACCCGTCAAGGCTTCCATTCTGGGTTACCAATCTCTGTCAATTCTCCTGATTTCAGTCGCCATAGCCTGAGGGGCAGGTTTCTGTTTTTAGACATATTAGTCTTAAAGTAGCTCATATTTCACCCCCTTGCATATTGGGAGTCTTAGTGTATTGGTGACGCTTATCACCTTAAAGCAGCACCGCAGCGTTTAATCATCAACGCTGACTGGATTCGTACCCTAGCAAGTCGTAAGGATGTAGCTCGTGACCTGACCTTCATATTGCAGGATGCGCTGTGTATCCTTGTGAGTGTCTGCCTTTTACATGTGGTGTCCTACGCCGTACGTGTAACGGCGCAGGCAAGACTTGTAGGATCAGAAACGGATGTAGGACCTCATATAGGCATATAGGAGTGCGTTAGGTCTCAAAGAGCCTAGATTCAACAAGACACCTATAGGCCTTGTATGAAAGGATATCAAAACTCTATAGAAATAGCTACAAGGAGTGTCTTTATATATACCTGTCCTGGTCGGGTCCGACCCTAGGACGACTAACGGAGAAGTAGGCGGTGGATACTTCCCCCGACCCCGTTCCGGCATGGGTCTGATACTTGGCAATTCTGTAACAGCGTTATAGCTTATAAACCAACTATTTATTTAAAACACTAGTCACGTTAACGCTTTAGTTATGGAAATTCTAGCGGATATAGTTCTTAAATAAAGAGAAGTCGGGCTCGAAAGTTATTACCCCTAATAACTTGAGATCCCTGCGAGCACGATCCTATAATATCTAGACTCTAGATAAGTAAGCATTTTTGGCCTTATAGCTAGGATGGCCGACGAAGCATTTCAGCACCATAATTCTTTTATTACTTAGAGCGTCTAGATCGGCGAGTGACATGTAGTCCTAGGGTCGCACGTCTTGAGCAGCTAGGAGTTTCACGTATGGCTGCAAACGCCAGAAATCTGTATTTTCAGCTGAGCCCCGCTTTGCAAGACACTAAGCTGATGGTGTCACTCGATAACAAGGCAGTATTCGCCAGTATTCAAACTTGATGGTCAGTCCACAAGGCTTATCTAATCTGAACATGACCATAGAAAAGTGTCCGCGATGTTAATACACTATGAATCTATCTCAGCATATTTTCTCCATTAAACAAACTGTGCTGGGACAGTGATAGAGCCTGAATAATGTCCGGCAGCCCATTCTGATGTGATCTTAGAGTCATATCCACTATAAATCGCAAAAAGATGCGGCATCTAACTTGGCGTGTCGCAAGGAGGTCCAAACTTCATGGTGAAATCGTTACACTCTCCTCTTAGTTCGTCTTCCAAGCCCACCTCTATCATGTCTTCCACCTCGTCTTCTACCTCGTCTTCTGCACTTCTGAATCGATCGTATCGTTCCCAGAATGGTCTCTTCGCTAATTTCATCTCTTCCACTCTTTTCTTCGAAAACCAGTCCCAGCGGATCTTCCGATACTGCACTGCATGAACTTGCTCACCCGGAGCAACCCAAGATCCTTGCTCGTTCACTACACCACCCCGAGAGCCACCAAGTCTGGGATCTCCCACAACAAATGGCATGCCCACGCCTGAGGCATTCAATGCTGTAGACAGTGGTATACCGACTCTGCCGCTACCTGCACTTGAATCTCCGGACGACTCTCTGATATGAGCATCGAGCAGTGTGTGATAGGCCACAATCACGTATATGTCTTCGCCCTCGTCGATAACCCTTTCAATCCATTTCTGAGCATCTCGAGGTCGAACTGCATTCTGAAACCATTCTCCGACATTATTGAGATAGTATGTCTTTGCTTGAACGGTTGTTATTTGTACTGAAGTCTTGAGACGCTTCGAAAACGAGGCAGAGAGGAGGGTTGCAATTTCTGCCGAAGCGTCGTGGTGGCGTACGGAAGTGTAGGTACCAGTAAAATTCCTCTGTAGTTTTTCTGCAATTTCTAGAGAGGCGAAATCCAGAGGATCGTGGAAATCTTGATGGGGGTTTTCTATGCTAACGACAAAGCGTCCGAGGCTGACTGAAGACATGGGAAGAAATAGCTGCGAAAGTAGTTTGTTTGACGCCATAGCTAAGAAGATGTCGAGTGAGCCCCTCGTGTCAGACAAGGGACTAGGTTGCTGATGCGAAACAAGGTTGTGGTACGGTCGATTTATACATGCGAAACTTTGTCGTACAATGCGTCAAGCCACCTGCACCGCCCAGGAAATACATATTGTCAGTAGCTCAGCCACCTTAGCCACGCGGCTGTACGGGATGCCCAAGATTGCGGCGCCGCCTTTAGGCTGCATTGCCGTGACACCTTCGTGTGAACTGTGTGTAACCTAGCATACTTCGAATGTTTCCCTGAAGCATTTGGCATGGTATCCAGACAAATCGTTTGTTCGCAATTTTCAAATGCAAGGTTCAAAGAGAAAGGTCATTGCAGGCTGCACACCGTGTTTCATGTCCCGTCTCTGCCTGTACTGTAATTTGATCCCAACACAGCCTCAGACTAAACTCAACTTGGAAGGTCACAAAAGGTCGCATAAAAGACATTGCTATCAATACATCCTCTTACTTGAAGATTTCAAGGTCACTGAATTTATTCGATATTCCTGTTTGCCATTCAGCGTTATGGATGTCTTTGATTCGATGTTGCTTGAGAATTTCGATGTTTTGTTTACTACCTTATCCCCACAAGATACCCGCTCTCGATCAACGCTATGCGCACATTATGCGATGTTGAAAGTCGCCCTCTTCGAGCGCTCAGGCCGGATGGAAGACTTAGACGATGCAATTACGAAGGGAAGACTCTCGATAGACGGCACTGTGGGGCATGACCAGGTGCTCCACATTCAATTGAATAACCTCGCAAATATGCTTAGTCGTCGATACGACGAGACGCGACAACTTAGCGACCTAGAGGATGCCATACATCTCAGTCGACGTGCAGTCCATGGCGTACCTCTAGGCCATATCGAGCGAGCTTCTACATTGAGTAACTTAGGGAACAAACTCAGTCGTTTATACAAGGAAACAGGTAACCTGCAGATTCTGGAAGAGGCCATTCACTTTGCTCGCCAAGCCGTGGATGGTGCTCCCACCAAACACCACCAATATGCTTTACTAGTGAACAACTTGATGAACAAGCTTGCTCTCCGATCTCAATACTCGAGAAGGCCGGAGGACCTGGATGAGGGACTCCAAGTAGCGCTGAGGCTTGTCAAGATAACACCTGAAGCTTCGTCCCAGCAATTGGACGCCCTACAGTGTGTAGGAGCTCTTCTCTTACGCCAATTTGAATTTACGGGACAACTGGATGTGCTTGAGGAAGCAACACATATTGCACGTCGAGTTCGCATAGCTACAGCTGATGGAAGTCCACACTTCGCTGCAAGATTGTGCAATCTTGCGAACTGTCTCTACCGACGATCCGAGTATTTAGCAGATAAGCATGATGTTGAAGAGGCTGTTGGACTTATGCGACATGCGATTCTTCTCACTTCCGAACAGAATTGTATTATGCTCTCCAACTTTTTGCCGATGCTTCATCTTCTTTGCAAGCTCTCCGGAGACACAAAATGCCTGGAAGAAGCAACGAACATAGCACGGCAGGCCATTCGTCAAACTCCATATGATCACAAAAGTCTGGGAGGGCTCATGAATGGGCTGGGCCAGATTCTGCAGCTCAGGTTTCACATTTCTGGGGACACCAACGATCTGGAGGAAGCAATGCAGCTCATGAGAGAAGCCCTTGAAAGGACACGACAGGACTGTACCGACTTCTCCGAAATCTCCACCGACCTGGTGGCCATATTAAAGTTCAGATATATGCGATCAAGAGATGGCAGAGATCTAGAGGAGGCAATTGTAGTAGCTCGCAAGGCGATTGAGATACTACCCCAGGAATATCGGAATTTCGCGACAATGCTAAGCAACCTTAGTGACTTGCTCGGTAGCAAGTTCGAACGTGGGAAAGATACAGAGCTTCTCGATGAAGCCATCCAAATCCAGCGGAGAGCCATAGGCCTTGCACCAAGAGGATATCCCCATACCGGAACGTTGCTAAACAGACTTGGAAGACAACTTCGCTATCGATACGAGTACACTAAAGACTCACAAGACCTGGACCAAGCAATTCAAACTGCAAGGGAAGCTCTAAAGGCTACAAAAGAGGCCCACCACAACTACCCGATTGTCCTAAAGGATCTTGGCCTTATACTCCTGTACAGATATGGACGGTCGGAGGAATCGAAAGATCTGAAAGAAGTCATGCATGTCCTTCAACAGACCTGGAGTTGTAAGAATGGCACTCCTTTCGTCCGCATAACCGCTTGTAGCCTACTGATCCAACTACTCCATCTTGACCACGACTACGATCGCGCATTCGATCTCGCTGTAGAAGCTATACACATGTTACCTTATGTCCACAAGCGGTCTCTGAATCAACAAGATCAGCAGTATGTAGTATCCCACTTTTTCGGGCTAGCTCCTATCGCCTGCTCCATTGCCCTCCACAAGGGTGAAGGGCCAGATATTGCCCTGGAGTTATTGGAAAAAGGCCGTGGATTGGTCCTTGGTCTGTTGATGGAAGATCGACGAAACATCCAAGCATTAAAAGTCGCGTATCCCAAGCTGTACGCCCGATACGAAAGCCTGCGAATTGAAATAAACAAGTCCGCTGAGGGATTCTCAAATTGCCTTGATCGAAACGAGGCTATGTTATCGCAGATGTCGGATATGGAGAAACTCGACGAATGCGTGCAGGAAATTCGGAAGTTACCTGGATTTGATAAATTTCACGAGAGCAGCACTGCGAAGCAAATGCAAGATTGCGCGTCCGATGGCGACATTATCGTCGTGAATATTACCCAGCTAAGAAGCGATGCAATCGTTGTTACTGCTCGTGGAGCTCGAACAATTTCACTTCCTAAGCTCAGCGCAGATGATGCTCGAAGCTGGAATGACCAAG